TCACCCAGATTATCTAAAAAATTAAAAATAGAGCATGGTAAAGCCTTAAAATATTTATATATATCGATTCTAATTTTCTTATAATATTTTTGTTGATGAGTATATTAATAAATTTGATTTATTGATAATAGTAGACGTTCAAAATGATTATGAGAGAGAATTAATGCCACGACGATCAAATATTGGTACTAATGGTAAGCCATATTTATTAAATTATTTATAATATAAATTAGAAATTATTCTATTTATTTTACTTTTACAGATGAAGAACAAAATAATCCAAGTCTTCATTCAGAACAAGATAAATCAGAAATTCTCGATGGTTTGTTTTATTATTTAGTATTTTTAATAATATATTAAAATAATAAACTACATTTATTTACTAATCTATCTATTTTATAGATGAACTTTAAATTAATTTACAATTTGATTATTTGAATTCAAATTCATTTTTATTATTTATTTTATGTTGAATTATTTAAACACTAAGATTAGAGTAGTAAAAAGATTCTTAGTTTGTAATTTAAATAATTCGATTCTTTTATTATAGGGAATTTTCAATTATTAAATAAAGTGAATTATAAATTTATTATAAAATATTATGAGCATGAAAGGTAATTTTGTAACAACGCATTAGTATTTTACAATAAAAATCATTTATAATACCGACATTCATTTGATTACTATTTTAATTGTATAAATTTTAATAAATATGTTATAAATTATCAGAATATCTAAAATGATCATTATTCACCAAAAGTATTAAACCATTTTCAAAATGGTTTATTCTATTAATTTTATGTAATAACATTTAAATCCAACGTTTAATTAGATTATGTCCAGTTTCCATCCTGAGAATATATATTATTTGGATTTCAAATGAGTGCTGATATCTATATAACTAAAAAAATTCGTGTGTAACGGAAAGTTTTAGATTATCCTGTATGAATTGCGCGATGTGACGACGTGACGTGTTGATTCGCCTGCGCCTGATCTATTCCATAATTATTATGGTTTAAATAATTTGATTGCTGTCGGGTCATGTGTACGTTCCGATGGCCAATTCTAGAGATTAATTAATACAGCTCCGGATAATGAAATTTAATCGATTTTTTTTTTTTTTTTTTTTTTTTTGGGCCGGATCTTTGTTTTTAATATTTTTTTTGTCTCTTTTTGTTAGACACGAACTTTTTTAATAATTTTTTATTACTGTTTTTCAAAACCGAGATTTTAATAATTTTTCTTTCCAATTTTTTTTTTAAAACTGAATTTTTAATATTTTCATCCCGATTTTTTTTCTCTGTCTTTTAGATCAGTGATCGGATTGATCGGATTGATGCTGCGGTCCTACGATAAGCGTTTTTTAAATAATTTTTTACTAAATTTTTTTTCTCTATTTTTTTCTTTTTTCCATTTTTTCACCTCTTAGGTTTGGATCGATACAATATAATCAAAATAAACTATTTTTTTTGTTGAATATATTGTATTATTTTAGTTAGGATAAGCATATTTTTTTTTTACTTAAAAATAAAAAAAACGTGTTAATATTATATAAGATCTTAAAACAATAATTTTATTGTTATATTGATTTAAACTCATTTAATTCTGTTGCAACGCAACAGGCTACAGCTAGTTATAACTAAAAAAAAAATTTAATTTATTATCAGTTTCTTTAAGTTTCAAACGTAATTTCATATAAAGTATAATTCCAATTATTATAAAATACTTCAACAGTAAAAATTTTCAGATGAAATGTAAAAAAGAAGATAGATTTAATAAAATATGAAATCAGAATAATCACCATGGCGATCGTAACTACACAAAGTTTTACAGGTCCCAGAATACTGGCTTGTTAAAGGCCAGTCGTACGTTATACAAGTCATTTCAATGCATCCACTTCGTTGACAACAGTCGAGACCACGCAAGGCTTTGCAGGATCCTGAAATGTTGGCTCGATATTTTTTTTTTTCAGCCACAATAAACTTTACCTACTCTTTACTTTACAAAAACTTGTCAGTAGATTTTTTCTGGAACAAAAAGTAATAACTTTATATGGGAGATAAAAGAAAAAAAGAAAAAAAGAAATTTTTTTTTTTTTAGATCAAAATGGGCCACTTAAGAAAAAGATCTGATAATTCGAAACGTTATGCAAATACGTAAATGAGATGTAATATTCTTTAAGAATTTATTTGTTATGAGAATATATTAAAAGTTAGTAAATTAAAATTCACCCTTTTCTATAATTCTTGCAAATTTCTATATTAATTATTTTGTTAATTTGCTCCTAGCTATCACTATTGCTAGCTTAAGAGATTCCCATACCCTCTTCTACAAATTATACAAAATTTTCGCCAATTTAAATCATTCCCATCACGTAAATTACTTAGAAAGTGTCAATTTCAGCTAATTTCCGCCAAAGAATTTCTCATTAATTTCAAACCTAGTATAACACCGTAAAATTGAGAGATTGGCAATGATAAAAAAAAAAATAAGCAATATTTCCGATTCGAACTCACATCTATACATAAATTTCATAATATTCCAATCCGCCTCATACTGTATTCTTCGTATTCAAGCGATTTTTTTTTTTGCAAGTACGATTCTGCGCCAAACATAAAAGAATTCTGCACGTGCCATCACGGGAATTTATTTGTGATACTGCGTGGCGGATTTTCTCGGCGAAGATCAAAATGCCGTTAAAATAACAATAGTAAAATGTCGGTTCATTTTGGAACATCTATAAAGGCGGGAAAATCGATTAATATCGTGATGACATGTTTCAAGAAGCTAAACGAACAATAAACAAATCTACCTTATTTATTACTTTGCGGAATTTACGAGTTCGTTTGATTGTAAATATCGATGATGCAAATAATAGTAGGATTGAAATTTTATTAGAATTTTTGTCTTGATTCTTGCTTATATTCGCACAAGGAGGATAAAATGATTGAATAACCGGTGCAATACCTTTTTTTATAATTCACAGCGAGAATAGTAATAAGATTCTTAATTTGTAATTTATAATAATTTAGATCTCCTTTGTTTTTTTATAGGCTAATCAATTATTAAATGTTATTATAAAATGTCATACACGAGCAACATAATTTTGTAAAATATGTAAATTTTAAGGTGGACACTATTTATCTGAACAGCACTAGTGATGAAAACCGAAATCCAAATTACACCAAAAAAAAAAATTATTATTATATCCGGATTCTATATATCTGGATCAGATAATCTGGATTTACACATTTTTTTGACTAGACTTGTTTATAATATAGCATTCCAACATATTTATCATTATTATTATCAAAAAACTTTTGATATTTCGGTTACCAACAAATAATAATTGAAATCAATTAAAATATCAAAATAACTTTAGAAATAGATATTTACTTTTTTTTAAAAAAAAAAAATAAAATTAAACTATCCCCAAAATTAAAATATCGTTAATTTATTTAATTTTCCGAAAACAATTTATATTATTAAGTAAACATTATTTAAACCTATCATTTAAATTTAATATTAAAGTGATGGTACTATGATAATTTGTGTAAATTTTAGTAAATAATTTTATAATTGATAAATGATTTGTAAATTTTAATATAAATTTATCATAGTAAGTCTAAATTTATAAATTAAGAAATTAAAGGCGCCAACGCTAAACAAATCAGTTTAAACCGGATATTTGTCATTTGCTTATAAAACATATAACTTTGATATCTGAAAAAGAATCCGGGTAATTTGGGTATGGATCAAAACATTAAATAGTAAAATAAGAAAAAAAACGCTGAAAATTTAATAATCTAAGTATGTATTTAAAATGCTTTAGAAAAATTATAGACTAAGTTCAACTAGATCAAGCATATTAATAAACGACAATTACCTATGTAGTAAAAAGATTAAAAATTATACACATGTGTAATAATTTTTTCTTCGGGATATTCTTCAGAATATTACGTAAATGACAGTTATAATTTTCTCACGTGTTAAATACTCGTTACTACTAGGAAGTCCTATTGACCGATATCCTATTTTATTCTTTTTTCCTTTTTTTGCTTGAAAAGTGAATATAAAGTGATAAACAGATAAAAAGTCTCGTTAACATACATATATATGGTCATCTATCATATTATTGTATTCAAAAAAGGAATATATCTTATTCTCCGTAATAATGTAATTGTGCATGTTTTCTTAATTAAACATTATACTTCGGTTAGTCTAATTTTATCTCATGATTGACTTTTAAGAATAGGTTTTTTGTTTCACTGCGGAGGGAAATGATTAATCTTTAAATTTTATAAATTCATTATGCAATAAATCAACTTACTGTGTTATATTATCGATATATTTATTATACAATAAGATTTAATCATCAAAATTGAATTTTGATTTTTATTTTTGAAACTTAAGTTTGAATTTCGACTCATTAAACATAATAACTAAAAGTAAAAATTAAGCACAATTAAATAAAAATTATTAATTTAGTTAAGAAAGAATAAAAAGACAATAATATAATATTTAGCTCAAAAAAATTGTAATTTAATATAATTAACATATGTTAGTTTTTTTTTCCTATCACTGGAATTTATTGATGACATGATCACCAATACGGATCCAATTGAGAGATTTTGAAATTTTATTTTATGTAGTTGATATGTTAAATTTTATGAGGATTTGATTAATAAAATTCTGTTTTCCAAAAGCATCATTTTTAGAAATATATTTCATTAATTTCGCAGAAAATAATTTTAAAATTTTTTTTTTTTTTTTTCTGTACAATCTTTAATGTTATTGGTGCCTCTGTATTTTTATATCATGTTTTTACAAGAAATAAATAAATAAATAAAAATGGTTGGTGATGATCTTACGTTAAATGAAATATGAAAAATGTTTATGATCAGATGACAATGTAACAGGTAGATCAGTAGACAATACTAAAATTTTGTTGGTCGCACCAGTTTATTTTTCTACTAAAAAAAACATTTTTTTTTATAAATATGTCTAATATTCGAAAAAATTTAATTTATGCAGCTCTTACGAGGGCACATTTATCAATTGATCATAATACTCACAATGGCTTCCACAAAGAATATGAATTTTGTAAACAAGTAATTCTTGCTGATAATTCTCTAACAGAAGAAGAAAAAACTGAAGCAATAAGAAAAAATAATATAGAATATGACGCAGATAAAATTTTTCGTAATTCAGGAACAAAAAGAATTTGTGAAAATTGTAATCAAAAATGTTTAGCTACATTATATTGTGAATATTGTGTTCGGAATTATTTAAAAGCAAATTTTCCAAATTGGACATCTGGAAATAATGATATCGATAATTTAATAAAAAATTGTCAATCAGAAACACTTATTCCAAGTGTTATTATTGAATGGATCCCCTACAATAATTTACAAAATATTGAATATCTAACAAGAGGTGGGTTCTCAGAGATTTATACAGCAAAACGGATTGATGGACGATATAAAGAATGGGATTCTAAAGTGCAACAATTAATAAGACGTGGAACTCATAAAGTAATACTTAAAGAATTAAAAAATGTTGCAAATGCAAGTCAAAGTTGGTTTGAAGAGGTTTGTAAATTTAAAATATTTAAAGAACTTACATTTAAAATTCTCTATTAATAGTAAAATTTTGAAATTTATCTTTATAGGCTAAATCACACTTAACTATAAGTAATAAATACCCAAATGTTGTTCAATGTTTTGGTTTAACACAAAATCCATCAAATAGAAATTATTTACTTGTAATGAGAAAGTATGATTTGAATTTAAAAGAATATTTACAACAAAATCATAATCAACTTACATGGAATGAAAGAATTAATATTACTTTTTTAATAATTGATGCACTTTATTATATTCATGAAGAAAATTCAATTCATAGAGATTTGCATTCTGGAAATATTTTATATTCCCAGTTTAATGATCATTGGAAAATTAGTGATCTTGGATTTTGTGGTCCTGCAGACAAACCATCAACAAGCATATATGGAAATCTTCCTTACATAGCACCTGAAGTTATTAATGGAAAAGGTTATACCTTTAAATCTGATATTTATAGTATTGCAATGCTTATGTGGGAAATTTCATTTGGACAACCTCCATTTATGAATTATGAACATGATTATATTCTTGCAATTAATATCATTGATGGTATAAGACCAAAAATTATATCAGAAATTCCTTTAAAATATAAAAGTTTAATGGAACAATGTTGGGATGCTAACCCATTAAAAAGACCTGATGCTGATACACTTTTTGATAAAATAAGTGAAATTAAAACATATTATCAAAATAACCCAAATGAATTACCTCAATTAATAACAAAAGTAGATAAAGAAAAAATTAACATAAATAGTAAATCATTTACAAGTAAAATACATAAATTTGAAAACCTACCTGAACCAAAAAATGCAACAGAAGGTATAATAATTGTTTTATATTTATTAATCTAATCTTTTCCTAATATTCAATCACTATTAATAATATCTTCTTTTTATAAATAATAATAGAAGAACAAAAAGGTAATATAAAGATAATAATATTTTAGTATAAGTCCTTTAATTAATAAATAGGTTGAGATAATCTTTTTTTAAAAAATAGCATTTTATATCAGTAGATCATATGATTTTAGTATTTCTAGTAATTGTAAGTATTTATTAAGATTATATTTGAATTTTATACGACAAAATATTAAATGATTCGTTTTATTATAGCTAGTAATCTTGGTAAATCAAGTAATCAATATACATCAATTAGTTCTAAAGGTAATTTACTCTTCTATCAGTGTTTTAAATAAATAAATACTAATTTACTGTATATCTTAATTTTAGATAATGATAGTGAAGAATCACCCAGATTATCCAAAAAATTGAAGATAGATAATGGTAAAGCATTAAAAATTCATTTATATATCGATTCTAATTTTCCTATAACATTGTTGAAGATAAGGATGAATATGTCACTAAATTTGATTTATTGATAATAGTAGATATTCAAAATGACTATGAGAGAGAATTCATGCAACAACGATCAAATATTGGTACTAATGGTAGGTAAAATAAATTATTTATTAATAATGATCAATATTATTATTCTAATTTATTCTATTTTACAGATGAAGTACAGAATAATTCAAGTCTTCATTCAGAACAAGATAAACCAGAAATCCTCGATGGTTTGTTTACTTTGTTAATATATTAAAATAATAAATTAATCTTCATTTACTAATCTTATTTATTTTATAGATGAACTTTAAATTAATTTACGATTTGAATGCAAATTTCATTTTTTATTATTTATCTTATGTTAAATTATTTAAACACTAAGATTAGAGTAACAGGTAATAGGAAGATTCTTAGTTTGTAATTTAAATAATTCAGTTCTCGTTTATTTTTTATAAGGGTTATTCAATCATTAAATAAAGAAAACTATTTATTATTATAAATTTATTTCATCATTATAAAATATGGTACACGAATGTTATAAAAATGTATTTTAAGTGAATAATAAGAGAAATTATTTTAATTGACAGATTATAAATCCTTTATTCGATAATTATGTTAAATTATAGAATTTTTGATAAATACGTTATAATTTTGATGAAAATGGTTATGATCCATCAAAAGTATTTATTCTATTGATTTATGATGTATTTTACAACTCTGTATCACGTAAAGCTTGCAATGAAAAATCAGGCAAAGTTTGAATGCTATCTACAGTAAAATTACCTTCGTAATCTTGTATACTGAAAGGTGTGGAATAACATATACGAATTTAGATTTATTGTTAAATTTAAAATTTAAAAAAGAAATTTATAAGAGAAATAAATGTTTATTTGAGCGTCAACGTAATAAATCGTGTAATATGGAATTATTTGGAATTGTTGGTTACAGTAAAGACGTTAAAGTATGGAGAAGGTAATATATTCTTGCTCTTTGATACTTCAAAGAGCCTGGAGTAATCATCACGGTATTCTCGTCCATGTTGAGGGGTGAGGATTAAGACGTTAAATTAAAATTACATTTCGGTGTGAGAAAAGCTTTAATTTTGTCCGAAATTTTGAACTCTGTTTGCCAGGATCACTTGGATGATACCATCAATTGTAAAATTTGTCTTCTATAACGTTGTTTTTTTACATGTGACACATTTATTGTAAGAAAAATATGGTCCTCATAATAAATTGATTTCCCCATTTAAGTGCTCGTGCCCTAACAATTTAGAATAACAGATGAAACAGTTCTACTTTGGATGAAAGTACATTAATGATAGTCTGGATTTTATAAATCTCTAGAGAATTTATTGTAAGAGTCCTTTCTATTAATGACTTTTGATTTTAAAAAAATATTCCGCATAAAATATTAACAGTTTGTCATGTGATTATGATGTAATTCTGTTGCAATATTTATGAAGAGTTTGTGCTACGCATAAAAAAGGCTAATCAAAAGGTAAATTTTGGTTTGAAAAAACAAGAAAATAGGAGGGCGCTTTTTAGTTGTTATATGGATTAATATTCTTTATATAATAACTGACATTTTTGCGGGTACAAAATTAATATATGAGGGCGTGGACGTATTGAATTTAGTTCGCTTTAATATGAATTGGAATGTAAGACATCAAAAGTCCTATATGAACTATATGCGTTACAATCACAATCCAGACTGTGCCAAGTTTTTACCTGAAAACTTATCTCCAAAACCATGAAGCCAAAAGACGGTAATTGTATTCGCTAATAAACAAAATATTTCTTAATGAAAATCCGATTAATCATTCCACCGAAACAAACGACCATATTTATATGTAGAATTTATTCAACTATTTCTTTTTTTTATATAAGAATGATATTTTACTATACCTGAAAGCAAGTTTAATGCTCTTTAATTTATTGAGATAACATATTTCAATATCTATGACTTTTTGCGTCTTAGTACAATGTTTTATGGTTTAATTCTACTCCTTTTGCTATTTTATGAAATATTATTTAATAATTTTCTCTTATTTTTTACATTAATTTAAACAGAGAATCAGAGTTTAGAACGAGAATCACTATGTAGAAATTGCTTAAATAAATATGATCTCTTATACCAAGTTGGTAACTATGTTATGATAGCCTTATTTCTAAATTTCAAACTGTTTCGTTACAAACTACTAACTATTATTATAATGAGTGATAAATAAGGATGCGATGTTTGATACACTCTGCATTTAATTAAGTAACTTTCGTTATGGATGAGACCATTAAAAAATAAATTTTGTCTGAAAAATTCCGAATTTATTACTTCTGTGAAATTATGTTTGAAACTTAAAAAAAATTATTTAGTTAATTAAGAAAAAAGCTGAGTTTTGAATATTTTTCATATTGCCAATCTGATTAAACAGATAGACATTGATTACTTGTTGATTTATTGTTGTAATTGTACAATATTGAAATGCAAGTTTTTGTACTATTTAACGCGGTCAGAAGGTGTAATACGTTTGTGGACTTTTAAACAGTTTCCATTTTTAAATCTTTTTATTGTCATAATATAACTAATACCAAGAAATTGTTATAAATTATTTTAGACGTTATTGAATCAACTATTCATGATCTTTAGGGTCAAATAGTAAATAAGGAGAATGTCGCGTCTACATCTGTTATTAGATTAACATAAACAGACGGTAGTCGATATTAAAGTGCATATTTTGTGAAAACAAATGACGGTTAATAGATATAAACTTAATTGTATGGAGTTGCTGCGACTGCTGCGTCTATGAAAGGTTTTGTAGTCACGGGTTTCTACGTCTACTCACGTGATCATTAGCCAATAAATCGCAAACTTTAGTTATATCTTTTGGCACCAAGGTAATTAATGTTGTTAATACTGGAAATTTTAATATTAATATATTGTTTGTGTTAATCTGAAAATGATTATTATTAGTGACTTTGCATTTATAATTAAGATATTTAGATATTTGTATAATCGGGTTAATCATTTGCGAGACCTGACTCAACATCAAAGGTCAAATTTATGTAAATTAAATAATTTTCGTCCAATTACCATTGTTTCGCACAAATTTTTAACTTCAATATTATTAATATATAAAAATTTGCAATTATAATGATAATAGGAACTAAGAATTAGTAGACATGTTTTTATTTATTCGATTAGAATTTACAGATTTAAATCTCTGTTTCTACACTTCATGCTCTCGGGATTTCAGACATTTGTATGCACGAATTGTGTTTGTTTAGATAATTCTCATGCACCGTACTGCAATAAGATAAAATTTGAATTTTCTTCTTACCGATGAAACAAAATTTAACAACGAAAAAAAATTTAATATCACAGCTTTGGAATATTTAGCAATGAAAAAAAATTATATAATTCTAAATGTCCCTAACAGGAAAGGAATGATTCGTCGGTTCCCATTTGAACGGATCTCTGAGAAAAATTATAAACAAGTAGAACATGCGGATATTGATCAACAAAAATTTCTTTGATTGGTTATTAAATAAACCATCTTAATTTCAACTTAAGCTGGCTTGCTGGAGCAGTTCAAAGTCGACATAAAATCCAACATACAGTAGTTCAATCATTTTATTAAATTTAGGAAAAATTATTTAGAATATTTTTAATTAAGATATTATTTATTTGGTTACAGTATGTTCTTGTGTATTTGCTTTATCGATTTTAAGTATGAAACTTTAACCGATATGCTTTCCCCATTTGCCCGATCTTACCATACCTGTTTCTCTGGATGTATATATTATATAAATATGATTGGTATCGTACCCATCGTGCTGTACCTGTACATAATTAATAATACCTTATTTATTATATCATATCGTACCATACTACTTTACTATATACTCTTTTTAATTAACTGCATCATGGCGGATTTATGAAATACCCTATTAAAATTTGTCCGTCATGTCTAATTAAATAAATATTTGACCGTATTTTAGTCACCAATTTTCCCCAAATTTATTAGTGAACAGTCAAAAATGTGCTCCAAAAAATTTTTTTGTGCCCCAAATCTTGCGTCTAACTAATTTCCCCACTATATAACCAATTTTTCCGGTGTTAAAGGCGCGTCATTAGAGATGGTCAGTCGGTCCTGCGATCTGTACTCCCAATTTTTTGTACCACAATAGAACTGGAAAAGTGGTAAATTTTGGTCTCAATCTAAGCACCCAATTCAGAACTAGGCAGGTTTTTATTTTACCAAAACCAATATTTGTTACTTTTTTCGGTCTTTTGCCAATTTCGCCTCCGCTGATCTTAAAAAAGAAGTATAAAGGCCAAATTTTGACATTTATTGGTCTTTAGCCATACTTGCTGCGTCCTAAAAATTCAAGGGTGCATTCCTTATAACTTTCCTAAAGACCGGGCAGGACCGTCCAGGGACTGACCATCTCTACGCGTCATTGGTTGACATTCCTTAGGAAAAAGCTTAATTCCCGAGGGCGCAGCAGAGTTTTTGCAAAATTTCATAAATCCGCCGCAATACATCGACACAAAAGATTTTGAAAAATTTTCAGATTATATTTAAAAATTATAATTAAAAATAAGAGATGATGATATTTTATCTTTCATAAATGAATTTACTATGAAAAGAAAAGTTAAATATTTATCTTTTGAAGAAGTTAAGACTAATAGAAATTTATTTTCTTTGAAAAGATGAAGTTAAAACATTTGAGCTATATTATATAAAGTTCATATTTTTTTTTATTTTTATTTTTATTAATGGGTGTCAGTTAGGAACCTAACATGACGCGAATTTAAGCAGAATATTACATATAAGATCACAAAATCACAAATTGAGGGTTTGCGTAGTAATAATTATGGATTTTCCTTTTATATATGGGCGTGCGTCAGTTAAAAGGGGGGAAATCTACCTCAAAACCAAATTTGAGGTTTTTGGCTCACTTAATATTGTATGCCGATAAGCATAATAAATTATCGAAATAAAATCAAATAACTGAAATATGCTATAGGGACGATCATTTGATTATTTGACGATCATTAACTTATTTAGCAATAGCATGACGTAATGATGAAGGTGAAGTCACATGATATGGATAAAAGTTTAGCCACCAAATTCCCCTCTTTTAACTGACGCATGAAAGCAAAATATTTTTTCTTGCAAATAAGTTAATTTCATTTTTCTCAAAATGATGAAAACGTAGATTTCCCCCTTTTTAACTGACGCACGCCCATATAATGTCAGCCAGAGTTTATTTCCTTTTTTAGATTATTGCTGGCATTATCGTTTATTTTATTTTACAATCGAAGATAGTAGATGTTAATTACAAAGAATAGAATTATAAAATAAAACTAAAAATTGAATGATTTAACAATTTACATCCCCTACGGGACCTATCTAAGTTTGGGCACTCATACAGGCAGGAAAACTACGCTACAGCCCATAATTAAAAAAAATAAAATGAATAAAAAAAACGCACTGGGACCAGGAATATGACTAATAAAAGGGGTGGAAAAAAAGCGGGAGCTAAAAAAAAACCAAAGACACCGAGAAAAAAGAAAAATAGAATAGAAGAACGGAAAAAAAAAATAAAACACCTTCCTACCGAACCACCTAAATCACCTTAAACACCAATTAACTTCTTTCATGGGTCCTACAAAAGAAATAAGCGCCACTGATTTCACCTAAAAAAAAAATGTTATGACTGTAATACAGTTAAAGCCACTTATTCTATGCTATTTAGGATTTGATTATTCACGACCTCACACCAAAAGGTTTAGGAGTTTTAAGAGTAAAGGACGCATGTCATCAGTCTTTTGTTGAGTGTTGGATTTGTTGCGCGAACAAGTCGAGGAACTGAGAGATTTGCCCAGATTCTTCCCTTTACTTTGTTGTGAATAAGTCTTTTTGTCCTTATTGGACTTTGGAGGAATTTTTTTTGTGGGAGGAGTTGAAATGGTCGGCTTCCAATGATGGCTAAATTCCATACATCTAAGTAGGTGTTCGTGAATCTCAAAGTAAGCGATCAACTGATGTTTCCCATGTACCTTTAAATGAATAAAAGCACGACCCTTCAATTCATGACTCAATATATGTTCGAAGGATTGATTTTCGTGATAACTGAATGCCAACAGATTAGACTTCCAGTCTTCCGGAAGAGAAAATTTTACTTGAAAACGTTCCCGAGCCTTACGTTCTCTTAATTTCCAATGTCCAGGATACCAGCGGACAAGACCATCACCTAATTTTTGTTGCCACGTTCTCATAACGAAGTCCATGTCTGTAGTTGGTTTGAGTATCATTTTTGTCCAAACGGACTGATACTTGTGTTGTGTCTTAAAGGATATTTCCAATACTTGGCCCCATGATTTTAGATGTTCCAGGATTGCATCATGTGACCAGGCCGCAGGTATATCGTAAATCATAATAGTTCGCACTTGACCTTTTTGCGAATTATGTATTACATTGTTATTAATAGTCATCTTAGTGATCTTGCCTTTTGTAATTTGTGATTCCGAAGATGTTACATTTTTCGGAATCTGAGAACCAATCGGCTTAGATATAGATGTAGATGATTGATCAACATTGGATGAACCTTCCTGATTTGGTTGGGACGCGGTTGTATCAGGATCTACATTGTCATCTATGTTCATGGATTCGTCGATCACAAGATTGGCGTCTGCATCATCTGATACAGGCGCTTTTTGTTTGCAGACCTTCTTCTCCTTTTTTTTTAGCTGCGCCTCAACAGCGCTTTGAACGAGTGAAGGAAGAGCATTTTGGTAACGTGAGCTTAAACTATCCAGCGTTTGTCGAGCTTTGCAGCGAGCTCCTGAGATTATCGCTTGATTTAATGTTCTCGTAAACTGTTTAGTAACTCTTACATTATCCAGTATAGACCGCTCTGTGACTATGTCGCCTTTTGGAACGAGTTTAGCAGTTGCAGTCTTATAAAATTCAGACTCTACATCACCACACTGTAAGTAATCAAATATTATGTACCCTAATAAAGAAGCGAACGAGTTGGTGAAGGAGTCAACGAACTCTTGTACGGGTATAGACTGTTGTGAAGATTTCTTTTTATTACTTTTACCCATTTCTTATATGTAAATTTTTTCTTAGTATTTTTTGAAAAAAATTTTTTTAAGAAAGAGTTTTTTTTTTTTTCTTGCTGGCATTATCGTAATTCCGGCTCTGAAAAAATGCGTAGAGTGCTTTTGACCATGTGACCCTTCGTAACTCGAGGTACGAAGTTGCTGACGCCCTAACCGACCATCTGGAATTTAAAATTCACCTTGCTTTTCTGAACGAAGATTTGGATTATTATGTACATTATCTATAAAAATAAAATAAATTAGAATAATAAGATTAATTATAATATAAATAATTTAATGGATATTACCTATCATTAATATCAATATTTGATCGTTGTTGCGTTATTTCTCTTTCACTTTTAAGATCTACTATTATTAAATAAATAAAATTTAATCCTTATTCCAATAACGTTGTTTTATAAACAAATTTATTGAACATTTGGTTTACCATTCTCTAATTTCAACCTTTTAAATGATCTGGGAGATTCTTTATCATTATCTAAAATTAAGACAGAAATTAGCATTTAATATTTATTACAAAATTTTAATAAAAAATAAATTACCTTTATTATCTTTATAATTAATTGAAGTATACCGTTTACTTGATTTGCCAAGATTACTAACTATAATAAAAATCAATTATTTTAATATTTACTATATAAAACTCAATGTGATTTAATAAATACTTACTATTATCAGGAATACTAAAATCATATAATTTACTAGTATAAAATGCTTATTTAAAAAAGGAGATTATTTCAATATATTTATTAATTGAAGGCCTTTTACTAAAACATTATTAACATTCATTACATTACCTTTTTTTTGTTCTGTTATTATTTAATTGAAAATAAAATATTATTAGTAATGTTAAAAAAAAATGTTAAATGACTAATAATTACTATACCTTCTGTCGCATTTTTTGGCTCAGGTAGGTTTTCAAATCTATAAATTTTACTTGTAAATAATTTATGGCTCATTATATTATTTCCTTCTTTATCTATTTTTACATTTTGTTGAGTAATTCATTTGGGTTATTTTGATAATATGACTTAATTTCTTTTATTTTTTTCAAAAGTGTATAAGTATTAGGTCTTTTTAATGGATTAGCATCCCAACATTGTTCCATTAAACTTTTATATTTCGAAGGAATATTTGGTAGAATTTTCGGTCTCATACCGTTAATGATATTAATTGCAAGATTGTGATCATGCTTGTAATTCATAAATGGTAGTTGTCCAGATGAAATTTCCCACATAAGTATTGCAATACTATAAATATCAGATTTAAAAGATTTAAAAGTATATCCTCTTCCATTAATAACTTCAGGTGCTATGTAAGGAAGATTTCCATATATACTTGTTGATGGTTTATCTGCAGGACCACAGAATCCAAGATCACTAACACGCCAACTATCATTAAGCTGTGAATATAATATATTTCCGGAATGCAAATCTCTATGAATCGATTTCTCTTTATGAATTAGACCAAGTGCTTGAATTATTTCATAAATAATATGAATTCTTTCTTTCCATGTAAAGTTGTAAACTGAACGTGATTTTGTTGTAAATATTCTCTTAAATTTATATCCATCCTTCTCATTACAAGCATATAATTTCCACTTGATGGATTTTGTGTTAAACCAACACATTGAACAATAGCTATGTATTTATTACTTATGGTTAAGTGTGATTTAGCCTATAAAGATAATGTAATTTATTGTTAATAGAAAATTTGAAATAAAATCTTTAAATATTTTAATTATAAACCTCTTCAAACCAATTTCGATTGGCACTTTCAACACTTCCTAATTCTTTAAGTATTACTTGTAGATTTCCAAACCTTATTAATTGTTGTTTTTTAGTATCTCATTCATTATACCTTACACCAATCTAAGTTGCTATATAAATTTCAGAGAATCCGCCTTTTGTTAAATATTTAACATTTCGTAAATTATTATAAGGAATCCATTCAACTATTGTTTGTGGGTGAAGTGTTTCCATTTGACAATTTTTTATCAAATTATCAATATCATTATCTGTTATTTTCAGATGACCAATTTGAAAAATTTACTTTTAAATAATTTCGAACACAATATTCACAATATAGTGTAGCTAAACATTCTTGGTCACAATTTTCACAAATTCTTCTTGTTCCTGAATTAAAACAAATTTTATCCCGGTCATAATCTTTACTATTTAATATTATTGCTTTGGTTTTTTCTTCTTCTGTAAGGGAATTATGAGCAAGAATTGCTTGTTCAATAAACTTGTGTTGTTTATGAAAGTTATTATGAATATTATAATTGTTAGAAAAATAGAATTTGAACGTTAGCGCAAAGAAAGAAAGATATCCATTTATTGGTTGGTAACAAAGTTATATGTAATAATTTGTGTAACCATCAATTCTACTTTGACCTACATGACACCACATCAATAGCAACTGATCAAAATCCGTGAACGTACAGTACAAATAATGATTTATAATGTTAAATAAATAAAAAAAATACTTTAAATTATTAATTTTTACATTGAGTTAGAATAGACTTGATTTTTTTATCTCATTTTAAACTGTAAAGATGATAATCACCAAAAGCAACTCAGATTTTTTATTATAAAGCAATAGTAATTAATAATGCAAAAAAAAGAAAAAAATATATCTCTCCGTAGTTTGATTATAAAATATAATTTAAAAGATATTTTAGAAAATTGTGAAATTTTTTACAAATTCAGTTCAACGTACCATACCTACTAGGACTCAATTTCTAAATCACCTGACATTATTAATCAAACTCGTTAACGGTGATCAGCAAGGAATGTTATCAAGCAAATTCTAATAAAATAAAATAAATATTTGCCATTATATTTACTTAAATTAAAAGAAAGAGTTGTTATTACTACGCGAATTGATTTGGATTAAATGATGAATTTGACGTAATTTTATTATACCAATGATAAATATCCATATTTTTTAAGACCTCTAAACTCTAGTTAGTACTATTAAATATTTTATTTTTATTTTGAATTTTATCACGGCCACAATTCTAGATACCTCAGTCACTGCGGTTAGTATTAATTTTCATTTTATACCTGATTTTGACTAAATGTGAAATATTAGTATTATTTATTTCATGGGGAGTTGGGAATAATAGGGTTTTTCCGAAAGGAAAAAACCCTGATGTTCCCATGAAATAAATGGGTAATCTCCTGGAGCGTGTCACTCATTAAATATTAACTATTTTAACTATTTTAACGAAGATACCCGGTCATTTATAAACTCAGCTAATCACTCGCAATTTTTAAAATTAGTATGAAGGTGATCATGAGTGACACTTAGTGCTACCGGGATTATACATGACTAAAATTTTCAATTAAAAAATACTTCGTTAACATAATGAATAGGTTTATAAGAGATATTATTTATTTGGTTTATAAGACGAAGAATTTTGCTATTTTTGCCCATTTGAATCAGTAGGTCTAGCAGTTCTAGCAGTAATGAGCGTAATACGACCTATACGGGATTCGTATATATTTGATACAAATCCAATACAATTTGAACGTAACTCGTATGTATAACTCGTATTATGACAAAATTTAAAACATAAAAAAAATTATTTGAATCCTTAACTGTTAACGTAATAACTTTATGATTTACCGGTAAAGTTTCCGAATGATCTACTATTGATCTGCATACTCCGCATATTATTTTATTATCGGAATTGAAGTCCGAAATTCACCCTAATTAGTTTTAGTTTATATTGAAAAAATAGCCACAAATCCCTATTTTTAATTTCCCCCTTTTTTTCCTTTCTTATAACAAAAAAAAAAAAAAAAATTTTTTTTAAAGAATATGACGACATGCTCAAAAATTTTTTCAGGAGATTTACCTGAATTAATAAATGAAATTATACAATATTTTAGAAATGATTTTTCAACATTATATTCATGTATTTTAATTAATAGAATATGGTGTCGTTTAACAATACCAATATTATGGGAAAATCCATTTTCGATTCCAACCAAAAATTATCAATTTATTGAAATGTATTTAAATGAAGAAGATAAAAAAAAATTATATGAATATGGAATTAATATAAAAATTCCTATAAATAATAATAATCCTAATAATAATAATAACAATAATAATAAAACATTATTTAATTATCCAAATTTTATTAAAATTTTAAATTTAAGAGAAATTCAACTTTCTATTGAACAATGGATTTCAATAAATTGTAACAAAAAATATTACACAGAATCAGTGAAATTAATTTATAAATCATTATTTAAATCATTTATTGATAATAAAGCAAATTTAAATACTTTTAAAGTATCAGATATAAAATATTTTAATGATAGTGTTGAAATAATTTTAGAAAATCCCAATTTTATTAATGAAATAAAAAATTTAAAACTTATTACAAATCAATATTTTAAATTTTTAACAGTTTTATCAAATAATTGTAAATCCATTTCAACACTTTATCTTGAATTTAATGAAATTCATGATATTTCAACAATTGAAAAACCATTATTAAATATAATTAAAACACAAAAAAAACTTGAAAAGATTTCATTTGTACAAAGAAATTATTTATTTAAACAAAATAAATTTCATTTACATAATTCATTATTAACATTAAAAAATTCTAATTGTTCAAATACTTTAAAAACAATTATATTTTATAATATTGATTTTAAAAATATAAATATATTAAAAGAAGTATTTGAACAATTAAATGTTTTAGAATCTATTCATATTCTTTATTGTTTTTCTTTAAATAATGAATTTATTCAACAAATTATTAGTATTAATAATAAACCATTTAAATTAAAATCATTATTTTTAAGTAGTAGATCATTTCAAATTGAATCTTTTCAATTATTATTACAAAAATTTGGTTATTATTTAGAAAATATTGGATTTGGTTTTTTTACAAATGATGAATTAAAACAACAATTACTTGAATTAATTATAAAATATTGTACAAATATTAAATTTTTTGAATTATTAGGTTTTAATGAACAATGTATATTTTTATCTTTTGATATAATTGAAATTATTGGTGAAAATCTTAATTATCTTTCTATTGATAATGAAATGATTAAACTTAGTTCTATAGTATTAAGAGAATTGGGTCAAATTTTACCTAATAAATTAGAATATTTAAAATTATGTCTTAAAATTAATCCAAGTGATTTTGAATTATTCTTAAAAAAATCTCAAAATACTTTTATTAAGAAATTATTAATTAGAGATTATACAACTATAGGAAGTGAAGATATTTTACCTTATATAGAAAAATATATTATGAAAAAGAAAAGGGTTAAGTATTTAGCTTTTAAAGATGATTTTATTGGTAGAGATTTATTTGAATCAAAAAACAAGGTGAAAAAATTTGAATTATATGGTATTAAAGTAGAAAGTTATTATAGTCCAAATATATATGTTACTTTTATAGCCGAAATGTATTGCTTTTAAAAAAAAATATAAATATATAATATATACAAATATATATAATAAAACAATATTACTTTATACTCGTACTAAGTTTTAAAAAACTGTACATTACATACATTTAACGATTTTAACATACTATCATGCAGTCATACTAAGTTTTACCATGTTTTTTTACATCTCCATCTCCTTATATTTTTCATATTTTTCATATTTTACATCCACAAACTTTTTATATTTTTCAATTACTTTCATATTTTCCTCTTTTTTAACTACATCACTTTTAATAATAAGAGTAAGTGTTTTACATGGTATACGATCTTCCCAAATCATAAAAATGGTTTCCAATTCTTTCGGAAGTAAATTTATTCCATGTAATTTCAATTCATGAAATTTTTTTGGTGAATATTTAGCAATAATTTTAATAATTTCTAATGCTTCAATTCTAAAAGTATCGCAATAAACACCAACTTCGGTTAATTCTTCAATTCTATCAATTCCTTCCCAGTAAACACAATAAACACAAATCCTTTCTAATTGTTGACAGCTATTTAAAATTGATATTACTGTATTTGTTTCCTCAAATCGAGCGTATAATGATTTTAAATTCAAACAAAATTTTGCTACGGCTAAATTTATTGATTTATTTATTGAAGTACGAAATGAATAATGCTTAAATTCTTCTAAATTCTCTCCATTATTTTCTAGAAATTTCAATAATGCTTCACTTTTAATATTATATCTGATTGCAAAATATCGTAATTTTGAAAAAATAACATAATTTAATTCTTCCAATTTAACCTTATTATAATCATAATAATTTATTAAAGTAAATTCTTGCAAATTTGTGAATTTAATAATAAATGAAATTGACGATAAATTATTAATTCCTTTTAAATGTAATTTTGTTATCGTATTTAATTGCTTATTATTTAATGAACACAAAATCCCATTTAATTCTGAACTATGAAGTTTTTTTACTTCTAAACATTTTAAATTATCTTGTAAAATAATTAATTTTTTCATTCCATTATCATGTGATAGAGAACCAAAAATTTTGATTGTTTCAATATTATGACAGACTTGAGATAATTGATAGAAAACTTCTGGTCGAACTTCATTTATACATCTCAATTCAATTAAATTCTTTAAACAATCTCTCGCTCCAGGAAATTCTGTTAACATTATATCATACGGAATTTTCATGATTTTTCTTTTATTCATAGTATAATTTAATATCTTCAAAGAGGTCCTGCTAATAAACATTTTTAATATCTCTTCTATTAATAAATTTCTACTTTTGTTTAATCTAATTAGATGATTTGGATTTTTTGAACTCCCTGATTTTGTTGATTTTGTTGATTTTGCTGATTGTGTTGATTTTGTTGATTTTGTTGATTTTTGAATAAAAAATTCAATCATTATAATAAAATCATCAATCGAAAAAGCTTTAAAAAATGATACATAATCAAATAATGGAGGTTTTGAAGTTTCTGAAATTGGAATAATAATAGTTTCTTCCTTATGTAAAAGTTTTTTTGATTCATTAGGTAGGCAAGTTAATAGAGTTCTTATAATTTGTCTTTGTGCTTCCGATTGAAGTTTGAAATTCCAAATATTTCTCCATAAAAACTTGACAGAAACTTTACATAAAAAACGATTAACCAATAAACATGAATATAAAGTATTTTTATCATTCTCATCTAAATATTCAAGAATTTCTTCAAAGTAATCAGTAGCCATTTTGTAATAGTCAAGAAAGAATTTATTAAAATAGAAAAAGGTGAAAGAGAATCATTTATATTATTCAGTGATGGCAATTGATAACACGATCAGTAAAGCTTAGTAATTCTGAATCGTAGTCTCACAGCCATGCCATGGTTCGTGATAATGTCTGTAGCCCTTTGCAATGGGTGAGAGAGCATTATTTACGATCAGTAAAGTTTAGTAATTCTGAATCGTAGTCTCACAGCTATAGTTCGTGATAACGTCTGACGTGGCAACCAAATGTTAATATTTGGCTTAGTATTAAAAATCTATCAATCTTGAAATATGTGTAATAGGTGAAAATAATATATTCGTTTGTTACTTTCTAGACGAGACTTCTGACTTTCTTGGTTAATATAATCAAAACAAAAAAAAATAATAACTCAATGTCAACAATCCTCTCCATTCTATACGATAAAAGAGGCTGATGATTCAGGTGAGAACTAGAGTGCTTAGTAGGTCTACGATATGGTAGTTGTATCTCGGGAATTGTATCTAGAGATCCTTGCGGATCAACTTACTATGATAGCATACCTCACTTAGTTTTACGTTGTATCCCCATTCTATATAGCTGAGATTTACTGAACAACATCCCTATAAAAAATTTTTCAGAAAAATGATCATGTATCTGAGTTTCTTCGAGAAAAATGATCATTTATCGGAGATTTTCCAGAATTTTTTTTTATAGGGCATATGGGTAATGGTTTTACTAGCGGGGATTCCATAAAATATTTTGTAGGTCAGGTACCTGAATCATTGTGCAGGCTAAGGCTAGATATTGACAGTCGGGAAGATTTGACATTACAAAGGAAAGATTTATCTATTTATTTAAAGTAAGCATGCACTCCCTGTTTTTTTAGCATAGTTTTAATGATACAGGTCTACAGATAAAAAAGTTTGAATATAGTTTTCCTGAAGGAGGGACTGGAGGGTCTGGATGCTTTTTCTTATGTAGTATGGTGGTGGTTAATTGAAATTTCTCGAAATTTCTCTTTCAACATACTAACGTTTTTTTTTTATTTTCTTTATGTAAAGATAAAACAAATTTTTTTGAATATCAAGGCGGTCAATCATCAAATTTTGTGATAATCGCGTAAGAAGTAAACTTTCCTTATTTTTTTTTTAAAAAAAAAAATTTACGTATTATATCCCTGTAAAAAAGTCGATCCGTTTTTAAATTCTATCTTTTTCCCGTAGAGGCTTATATTCCGCCTCATTATAAAACGGAATTTATCGAATTATTTTCGTTTTGATTTTATGTACGAGCCCTTAGTTTGATACAAGAAAAAAAATAGTAAAATACTATATAAAAATCAAAACTAAATAGCTAAATCAATAATTTAAACTAAAACCTAATAAACCAGATTATATATTAACGTCACACCACCAAAAATAAAAACCATTTTCCGTGAATCGTGAAAGGGAGTTTTTATAGAAATAACGGATAAAATTTTTTTATAGGGTATTAGATAGAGACTATCTCTATGTATTTTTTGTTTACTTGTCGTATGCCCCCTATATAATAAAGTTAATAAAGAAATGCGTGCTACTAACATAAAAATAAAAAAAAAAATTTTATTTTATATCCCACTAGAGCTGCGCACGTAATTCCTACTGAATGAACTTAATCAGATCAAATAATACCTATACTGACTTTCCTGTACCGGGTTGGGCCTATCTACCAGGGCGTAAGCCAAGAGATTTGTAGAATAAAATAATGTATTAAATATTTGAGGATTAACAATTAACGTTTGTGTTCGCGTATAAGATACAGTATAATCGTTTGCATAATCGATATTTTTTTTTAAATAAACAACTGTCCGGTGTAACGATATTTAGTATGATATAACTACCGTTGTATGTGCTATGCATACGGTATACAGTAGATTATAGATTTAATGGGTAAGAGTCGCCAAATCCACCAGATTTTTAAATATAACGTTCTCCGTACATTGATAAATTCTCAATCATAATTTTTTCTATTTTTCACAAATTCAATTTATTAGGACTGATTATTCAACTTATAACTATTACAACTTTAATAAAATTCTCCATCATCTAAAATATCATATTTTTATTCCTCATTTTGTGTAAGATGGTCGTTGCCACAACCTTTTACGCTTCTAGATGTTTATATTACTTATTATCTACAAATAAATTCGAATTTAATCTCTTGTAAATTAATGCATAAATACAGTACCGAATGAATTCTTTTATGACCTCACAAATATATGTTTAATATAAAACACTGCGCATATGTTGATCCGAAAAAAAATACTAAAATATAGTTCACATTAGTATCCTTTAATGAATGGCAACATACCGTAAACATTATGGGCTACAAGTGCGTACCTTATTTATATGCTAGTTTCAAATTAATAATTTATCTAAAATAATATAATGAGTATAATACAAAAAATATATAAGCTTTGATATTAAGATTGACGATAGTAATGGGCGTTATGCTTAATATGTTTAATGTGCTGATGTGGCTATATCATACAATAATTTGCACTGATACTCTACCTATTTCAGTGATCGTATTATTATGTTATGCATTTAAACTTTTGTTTTGTCCTTCATTTAGATTGATTCCTTCCTCAAGAAGTCTAGTTATAATTAAGATGATTAACAATGAAATGTGCAAAATCTTGCCTTAAAGTAACATGAATTTACAAAATATCAAATCGTGAAACAAATTTTATGTAAAAACTGAATATGAATATACTAAAAATCTAAGCAACTCGGATAATTTCCATGTTTTGAGGCTATAAATTCCGTGAATATGATACATTTACGGAATAAATAAAAAATGGAATAAATTTTTTATAGGGAGGTGCGTTTAATTGTGTCAACCTATATTGGACATGTATTCTCCACATAATGGTGCGCGAGAATGAGATCCAGGTTAATATACATCATGAATTATCTATTGTATATTTTATTGATTTTCTTTGGTTTACAGTATCAGAATGTTTAATTAATGGACTGCAAAAGCTGCAAATTCTATTACGCAACAAAAAAAAGCATTCCATCGAAGACGCTTGAAGCAAGTATGAAATAAGCACGCAGGAACAATATAGTAATTGCTAAATAATTGATATTTTTTTTTTATCGGCTAAATATGATAATCCTTTAATAAGTTTTACAGTTTAAATACTCTTACAATAATAATAGCATGACTGACGCAATATCTATTATTTATTGAACGAGGAGTCAAAATATTGTTCGAATACCGATATTCCATTCCATAACAGTATTATTATCAATAGGCGTGTTAATATTATTACATTGTCGATAAATATCAGGCTGATAAAAAATTTACAGTGAATTCCGTTCGTGTAATAATACAAATAAGGTCGTTCAATTTATTAATGCCTTTATAAATAAATATAGTATATCTTTTAACCTTTAAATATTCTTTTTAAAATTGATTCGTTATTACATTTAAAATATTTCTTTTAGTGTAAGAGTCAATTCAAGATCTGATATTTTTTTTCGCGCTCCCTTAATCCATTTCACTTTGTTCAATTTATCACATTTAAAGCCAGAATGGGCAAAAAATATCACTTATCTCATAATTCATAATGCCATAATTCGAGTTGGTAATTTTGTCTTCGTAGTACAACTCGTTTCATTGAGCTCATTGAACGAGTATTACGAACATTACATCTATTCACGCCTATTTTAACCAATTTATGACTAATAATAACTTTGTGGAACATAAAACTGTTCTAACCAAATTGAGGTCCATTTAAAGAAGTACAATTACGTATTTGGCTATCAATTTTTTAGACGCAGGCGTTTTTCTTTTTACGAAAAATTCAAATTTTTTTGGGTTTATTTTTTCATTTTTCAAATTTTTCATTTTTTTTTTTTTAAAAAAAAAAATTTTTTAAGGAAATAAAAATTCTTTTTTATCATGAAAGGACAATATCAATCTATGTATATGTATAATTCACCACCTATAATTTCTTCTTATTCAAATAATTTTTCGTCGGAAACGAATAAGGATGATATTAATTCATATAATTCGGAATCGAATAAAATGAAGAAGGAATTAACAAATTATTCATCTTCTATTGAACCTTCATATATTATTAATTCTAATACTTTTAATCCAACGAAAAATAATGATTATTTTATTAATATATTTGAAGATTTAAAAGATTCAAAAGATTCAAAACAATCAAAACAATCAAATTTTAATAATTTTAATAAAAATTTATCTTCACCTTTATCTTCACTTTCATCATCATCAAATTCTTCAACAATTTCATTATCTTTACCTTCTCCTTCAATTTATTCACCTTCTTCTTTATCATCATTATCAACACAATCAACACAAAATAATTCTTTATTAAATGAACTTTCTCTTTATATAAAACCATATAGTTATGAACCATTATATATGAAAGTTCCTGAAATAAAGAAAGAATTTATAAAATTTAAACCAAAACCAAATTTCTTCTTTCCTAAATTTAATATTATATTTTTTAGACCATTTACAATTTATCCATCAGGTAAAATTGATAGAATATGGAGATATTTGATTATATGGAGTATTTTATTATCTTTAATTTGTTATTTGGTTAGTATGAATTTTTTATTTTATCATATTTATCGTATTTATCGTATTTTATCATATTTATCGTTAATAATATTATTCATTTTATTAATACTTCTTCTTTTATATATGTTTTAGGATCCATTTGAAGCAAAATATTTATACAGGTTTATAACGCCTATTAAATATTTTGTTATTTGTTTGACCGTAATTTCATTAATATTTAGGGTTATTATAATATTTGGTAAAAAAAAAAAAAAATTTTTTTTTTTTTTAATTAAAAATTAAATTTAAAATTAAATTTAAAATTTAACTAATTTTAACTAACTTTTTTTTTTTTTTTTTTCTATAATTAGTTCAAAATGATTCATTCAAATCATATATAAAATCTTATACTACAACTTCTACTACTAATACAACTTCTAATACCACCAACGAAAATAATAATAATACATCATCACAAACCTATACAGAAACTCAACAACAACAAGAAGATGCAACTGTTATAAATATGGAACAAAATAATCAATTAACAACTAATACTCGAGATGCTCAAGATGAAAATTCGGGAGGTTTTGCTAAATCTTCATTATTTGGAGGTTGTTGCGATGGATGTTATTGTTGTAGTTGTTGTAATGGTGGAGGATGGGGTGCTAATTGTAGAGATAGTTTAAATTATTGTCTTGCAGGCTGTTTAAATGCTCTTTGTTGTTTTTCTTTTAATTCTGCTGCTTCTAATTAAATTTTTTTTTTTTTTTTAAAAAAAAAAATTATTTTTATTATTATTTTCTATTTATTATTTTATTATTATTTTATTATTTTATTATTATTTTATTATTAATGTTATTATTTTTCCCGAGTCTTACGTTGAAATGGGAAGGGAAAGGGTTTTTTTTTAAAAAAAAGTGATTTATTTTGTATAATAATAATATTTCTTGTTTTTTTATTAATAAATAAAATAAAACGAAAGGGTTTTTTAAAAAAAGGGATTTATTTTGTATAATAATAATATTTCTTGTTTTTTTTTAATAAATAAAATAAAACGAAAGGGTTTTTAAAAAAAATGTGTTTTATTTTGTATAATAATAATATTTATAAAACGAAATAATATTTCTTGATAAATAAAATAAAACATGTCTACTGTTTATACAACAATTTAAAAATAATTTAAATTCTAATGCTTAATATTATTAAATTATTCACAACAACACACCCTATTCACAAATACAACAACAACAACAAATGCTTATTAAAACTTCAAAAATAGAACCACCAGCTTCACAAATAGACCCTAAAACTTCACAAAAACCTCCACAACAAGAACCTAAAACTTCACAAAAAGGACCACAAATAGATCCTAAAACTTCATAAAAAGGACCACAAGCATCACAAAAAGCTCCACAACAATTTCCACAAGCATCACAAGAAGCTCCACAACAATTTCCACAAGCATCACAAAATGCTTCGGAACAATTTCTGCAACCATTACAAGTAGCTTCACAACAATTTCCACAACATTCACAAAAAGCTCCACAACAATTTCCACAAGCATTACAAGTAGCTTCATAACAATTTCCACAACATTCACAAAAAGCTCCACAACAATCTCCACAAGAATCTCCACCATGACCATGATCAGAATATCCATACCAATAACAATCACATCTTCCACAATCAAAATTACCATTATTATTACAACAATCACTACGATCACGATAATCATCATCGTCATCATCAACTTTTTTTGCATAATCTATTGTCTTAATAATAAACCAAATTCTTGTTATAACTAAAATTATTGCAGGGAATGATAAAATTATTTCCATATATTTACAAATACTATCAATATCATAACTTGTATCTTTGGGATCTTCTCTATGTATTAAATAATATAAAATTATATGAAGTAAGAATAATGTTGGAATTATAAAACATGTATTATCCGCTATATCTGCTAATCTAATTATTTGTGATAATTCTATCCATTTGTTACTAAATATCAAATAAGATTCCTTCTTAACTAACGTAAAATAATGTAAAAATATAATTAATACGTAAATTAAAAAATATATATATTATTATTATTATTATTATTATTAAAAAACCATTTAATAACTTACTAAATAAAATTCCTAAACAATCCCCCAAACCAAAATTATAATCATAATAATTCATTTGTAATAAATTTATTATACGAACCATTAATTCTATTATAAGAAATATTATTATGACTATTTTTGCAAATTGTACATAATCACTTTGTATTGAACTCTTAAATGACAGATATATTTCGATTAGCGCATACAAATTAAAATACCAACCAAATCAATCAAGATCAAAAAACTTTTACCTTAAAATAAAAGAATAATAAAGTCCCACATCCAAATAACATAACAAAATTACACCAAGCATTTATTTCCCATATTATTAAAGGACCAAATCTTTTTCCATTCTTCATTTTTACTTCACGGTCATCTTTTTCATCATCACTAATATCCACAATAGGAATTCTTCGATCGTCATCTATTCTCATATGAGGCGTCATTTTATAATCATTATTACCTGTATAATACTCGCCTGTGTAATATGGTGTTGGCGTAGGAGAAATTTGACCTCTTGTTGTGAAATTATCAGAAGACGGTGTTGATGATGATTTTTTTAACACCGTTGGTGGTGGCGTTACCGTTGATGCAGATACCGGTGAATTCTTAAAATCTTCATTATCTTTTGTATCTAATTTGTTAGATTTATTATTATTATCTTCTTCATCTTTTGATTCTGACATTTGTTCAAAGAAAAAAAAAAGTAAAAAGGTTTTAATTAGAATCAAAAAGAAAAGGGGAAAAGAATTTTTTTTTTTTGAAATTTTTTTTTTTTTTTTTTCAAAAATTTGACATGTGAATACTAAACGATGTTCTTTGAATAGATTTCATATTCTTATTGCGATCTACCTTAAATATTCTTAAATATATTTTTATGCTAGATTATGAAACGTGAATCAACTAAATGAGTTTTTACTTGCGATATTAGTTTCAACATATATTTATAAATTTATCCCTAATTATAAAAATAAGCATAAATCGATTTGTTCACCAAATTAAGCCTTGAATAGTTGCCTATTGACATCATACCTTCCTTTAACTTCTATATTGAAATATTTGAAGGTAATTGCACGTGCGCACGGCTCTTATGCAACGGCCTATAGTGATTAGTTACAGTATTAATTTCATATTCCGCTTATGCATTGTTTGCATTGTCTGTGTTCCATGAGTTCAGACTTCAGAGTTCAGACTGTAATGTAACAATTTTTATTGGTTTAAAATTAATCGTTTTTTTTTTTTGACATATTCGAACATAAATATTATAAAAATATCTTGATAACTTTTTTCTCCTTAAACTTTCTTTTTTTTTCGCTTTTTAAATTTAAATCTACATTTCATATATATTTTGATCTTTCTTATTTACTGCATCCTTTTTTGGCTAAATAAATAATATAGTATAATAAATACATACAAAAAATGGATAATAATCCTCTTTCTTCTCTTTCAAGTTCTCATTCAAGAAATGATTCATTATCTCAAAGTGAATTATTAGATGGATTTTTATTAGTTAGACCCGTTTGGGTTGATGATGAAACTGTTAAAAATTGTAAAGGTTGTGAAATTGGGTTTACTGCTATTAGAAGGAAGGTCGGTTAAACAAAAAATTTTAGAGTGGATTTATCATGTTTATTTAATGAATACTTAGTGGAATATGTAAAAAAAAATTATTTCTTATTTGAAAATTTATCTTGATCTAATAANTTATTTTTTTTTTTTTTATAATGATTTTTAAAAAAAAAATATATTTATATATATAAATATAAATTTTTTATTTATTTATATATAAATTTTTCTTGGATTTTCTTTGTTCTAGTTCCTTTTAATTGTAATTTGATATAATAAAATTGCTTAAATCGTCAAAATAACCTAAATAACCTGATTTTTAATTTGTTCAATCAAAGTTGGGTAAATTGTGAAATTTTATATATAAGTTTGCGTAATACACTCACGTGACTTGTATGATTTTTGATCATCGATAATTGTCTGACCATGATGTTTTACAAATTATCCAATCAATTATTCTTGACCGCCATTTATGTATTGTTACACGAAACTAGATTTACATTTTTCATACCCTTATAAATACAACTTGAGCAAATTTCAAAAATTTTTTTTACAACTCTTTCTCAAAATTTTTTTTCCTTTACTTTAATAATAAACAAACTTTATTATCCAATCAAATTATGTCATCGGTCGCATCAAGATTGCCATTAGACGTTTTAAGAATCATTTTTACATCTATTCGTAAATCTAGTAAAAATCCAAATAATGATGATTATGATATAAGACGTTATTTACATTCTTGTATTTTAGTAAATCGTTCATGGTGTAGAGCTGCTATACCACTTTTATGGAGAAATCCTTTTTATTATTTTAAAAATGGAAATGCAAAATTAGTTGATACTTATATTTCATGTTTTGGTTACGAAGAATATATTTATCTTGAAGAGGAAGGTTTAGAGTTAAACAGAAAAAGTTATGCAAGACCTACTTTTGATTATGCTTCTATGTTGAAAAGATTAGACTATGACAGATTTTGTCAATCCGTTGATGTTTGGTGTGGTTATTTAGAAAATGCTCCTTATAATTCAATCTCTTTAATGATAAGAGCATTATTTAAATTATTTCTTACAAGATCCGTTATATTATTACATTTGGTTCTCGGTGAATGGCTTTCACGAAAAGCAACCGATTATAGATATACAAGATTAATAGAACGAGAATTTAAAAATTTATTAGAACCGGTTAGAAAATTAAAAATTCAAGGTGAATTCGTTAAAGATCGAGTTTTAACTGAATTAAAAGATTCTTGTAAAAATTTGGTAAGTTTTTTAGGGGGTGAGATTATGATTCTTTTTTCATTTCTTGTTCACGTGACCTTTTTTGTCGATCATTTCCTCAACCGATAATTTTTTTGTATTATTATTATTATTATAGGATAAATTATTCGTATATCTTCAAGATTCACCTCCAAATTATACAGAAGAATTGGAATCTTTACGAGAATTTGTAAATACTCAAACTCGTTTAAAATCCCTTAAAGTTGCCAATGTTATACCTAATACAATTTTTCCTTCATTATCAACACAATCGAAAAGTCTTTGTTCAATTCATTTTTGGAAAATAGATTTTAGGAGTTGTGAAGAATTACCTTGGGAAAATCTTACTGCATGTAAAAATTTACAAAAATTAAAATTTAAAGATTGTATAGGATTTGGTGAAACTATGTATGAAGGTTTAACGAAATCATATTTTCCAAATTTAAAATTACTTGCTATAATTGGTGATAGTAAAAATGAACTTGATGAATATATTATTCAATCTGATTGGCAAGCTTTTCTTGATAGTCCAAATATATGGGACACTTCTACTGTTGAAGAATTTCTAAAAGTTCATCAATTTCAAATTCCTTCCGAAAAACAAACTTTATTGGAATGTCAAAAATTTATCGATTGGGGAATTAAACAAGGTTCTGTTGTCGTATTAGGAAGATGGAGTATTGCTTCCGCTATTCAAAAATTTGGTCAAGTTATAAGAAGTATGTATAATTAATTATTCATATATTGATTTTAAAGTCCGTTTCCTTTTTTTTTTTACTTAATATTTTTTTTTTATAATATTTTATAGGAGTTACATTAACCTGGACGTTTTCGGATGAATTTTATAATATTTATCGCCAATACTTACAAATATTACATAAATGGAATATTACATAATGGTACCTAATGACGAAATAGTATTTATTATTATTACTCCGATTACTCCGACTCCGATTCGTTGAATCGTACAAAAAAAGTTCTTTTGTTGTATTAAAAAAAACTTAGAGAATCAAAAAAATTTTTTTTGGTAAAGACTTTTTTTTTCCTTTTTTTTTTTTTCTAAAAAAAGTTTATGTAATTTTTTCTTTTCTTTTTCTTCTGAAAGATTTTGTGTTTTTTTTTTTTAGAGAATTATATACATATATATATATATATATTTTTAAAACAAAAACCTTTTCGCGTTTTTTATTCCGTATTTCAGTTATTTGTGCTTGTACATTTGCAAGTTCGTCTTGCAAACGACGTAGTTCTTCGTATTTCGCATTTAAAGCTGTAGAAAATACGTTATTCAGTATTCGTTAGTTTCTTTTATTAATTCACTAAATATTCTTACCTGTCTGTGGCTATATTCATAATTGTTGGTTAAGAAGTCGATGAATTATTACATTTGAAAATTTAAATGCCTATAAAAATTACTGGTAATACCTACATCTTNATTTAAGTTTTATTAAAAATAAAAGATAAAATTATTTTTCAGTTGAAAAAAAAAAAAACTAATTTATTATTTGATTTTTTTTAAACACGTAATTTAAAAATTAATTATCAATCTTAATCTTTTTAGATATTTTTAGAATTTACGTCAAATAGAACAAAATCGAACAAATCGAATAAATCACGTGTTTATTATTAAAATACGCGTATTTCAAGTAACGGTCGTTTTAACGCGTTACCTAAAAATGAACGTGTCGAAATGAGATTTGCGTGAATACAAAAAAATACAAAGATCGCTTAAATACGGAATGCGGATTTTTAAGGGGTATACATTTGATGTATCATTTATAATTATTATTATTATAAAATCTTTTATGGAAAGATTATACAAAATAAGTTTAGATCTTAAAAATTTCAATGAAGAGAAACACTTAATCAAATTCTGAAATAAATTTATATTTTTATGGCCAAAGTCAATGATGATTAATGAATCATATGACTGTTCTGTTTCACAATAAATGTGTCATTAGCCAATTAAATTAAAAAGTTCAAAAACATATATAATCGTTTTTTTTTTTGGCCCACACCTTTTATGTTAATAATTAAATCGAGTTTTTTTTTTGCCCACGCCCTTAGTAATAATATTTTTTATCATAAAAATAGAAAACTTTCCATCTTGTATCACAATAAATGATTATTGTTCTCACGTGATCATAATATGATGCGGAGGCTTTCAACATCCCGTATTTATTCATGATTTTCTTCATTTTCTTGGGAATCTTGGGAGTACAAGAATTGTCAATCTTCTACGTAGATCTATAATATTTTAACCGTATCATCAATTTTTGATTATCATTCACAAAAGTACCCTTATACAGTATATATTCTATTAGAATCTTTTTTTTTTTTTTTTTAAATGACGATCTGGGTTTAGTCTTGTGTCATTTGATCATAGAAATTGTGAGTGTATTTTTTTTTTATTCTAATCTATAAAAAGCTAGCCAAATTTTTATCGATTTGTCAGCCATCATCGGAAAAATTGGTAGTCGACAAATATTTGATTTATTCTTTATAATTATAGTACCGAATTACCGATGATAAACTTGTTTCGGCGAATAATCAGGAAATTTTCTTGAAAGCCCAGCATGAACAAAACATCAGACCACTGCAATTCAAACATTACTTAAAAAATCATTTTAAAAAAAAATCGGATATAAATATAACATACTTTCCTCACTAAAAAAGAGTAGAATTTTTTTCATTTGTCTACAAATAATTGTTGATTTGTATTCGTTAAGCAAAACGACCCTGATTTTCCTAAAAATGTTGACGATCGTTTAAATAATTTAGCGCATCTTTACATCTTTAAAGGGGATTAAACCCTCAAAATGCTATTCAGATTAATTGACAAGGTTAAACAAATGTGATTCATGAATATTATTAACAAATATATATAACGATAACAATACTTACGTAAAAATGGCTGAACCATTTTTTTCTTCACTGTCACGCCACGTGTAATGGCCAATGAAATTTTAGGATCAGGTGTAACCGATTATATAATTGTTTTGTCATTCTAATTAACCTGTTTCAAAAATTTTGCAATTAATGTTAACGTCATGGAAATAAACAGAAAATCTGCAACGTAGTACTTTTAATATATATTTATGATAAATTTAATGATGCAGTGATACATTTTTTTAAAAAGATTACAACGCCTCGGACGCTCCGAACAGATATTAAAATACGATAAATTCTTTTAAAGGTTCCCATTCCTAAGTATCCAAAGTATATACAATATACACTTGTATAAATACGCCACGCAAAATTACAAATTACCTACGGCTAATTGTCCGAAGCGTAAGTGTATCAGTCTATTATTGCGCGTACTTCGTTTAATCATGATATTTTTAGGAAACCGATTTTTTTTACATGATTTTTTATCTTGTACCTGATTAAGAAAAAATTTAACGATTATTATTATCGTTATACTGAAGATACTTCAAGAGAAGTAATTTTATAATGATACTACATAATTAAATAAATGAGTAGTAGGTTACTAGGTTTTCTGACCTAGTTATATATATACTTGATTAAATTTTTATTAACAATTTGTATTTCTCAACACTTGTTGAAAAAATTCAAAACTTCTTTCTTTTTTTAAAAAAATTTCTTAGAAAAAAAAAGATATATTCAATATAAAATTTCCTTCTTTCTTTTTTAATAAACTTCAAACTTCTTTCTTAAATATACACACACTTCTCTAAAAAAAAAAATATTTTATTACTTTATTACGGAAAAATATATTCGATATAAAATTACCCTTGTTTGTTATAAACTTAATGTCAACAATCTGACAGTCTAAAATTTTGGAAGGTTGACGTTATCAAAGGGGCCAAAAAAGATTTGCAGTATCATCTATTTATTAAGCTTCCTGCTTTTAAGTTTTAACATAGTTTTAATGATACAGGTTTATAGATAAAAAAAAAAAGTTGGAGAAGAATATAGGAGAAACCGTCTTTCCTGGAAGAAGATTAGCCAATGTACCTGCTTTTATGGTTGGTGTCACAAATCATGAGTGTATTCCAAAGGACTATAACAGTAGAGATTTTTATTTTCTTTACCCTTTATTGTGCAAAGTCTAAGGAAGACAATGGATCTGTCAGCACTAATAAGGGATAGAATCCTGTCTGAATAAAAAAAATGTCAAATGTAAAAAAATAAAAATAAATAAACTTGTTCAATTCGCTTTATTGGGTTGACAATAAAAAATAATAATAATAATAATAATAAAAGAAAGAAAAAAACATTGGATAAAATAAATATAATAAACACTACCAAAAAATTTTGGCAATATGATTTAATAAATTTCATTGGTTAGATTTATTCTGTACAATATTTATCTAATAATCTCCTATTCGATTTTGCAAGCAAATTTCCCTGCAAATTTTGGAAAACATTTTTTTAATTGCCAATTAACAAATGTAATAATCAAACTTAAAAGCCGGTTTGATCACGTGATTTTAAAATTCATCACCCTAGTTTTCCATTTTTACTATTTATAAATTTTATTGTCACGCCTCATAGTTGGTATGAAAAATCACGTGATCAAACGGCTTTAAACCCAATATCAGCATTCTAAATCAATTTTTTTTTTCATATTAAGTAATTTTTAAAGTGGACAAAGTCGTAAATTTTAAGATTTTAAAATCGGTGTATAAATTTTAAATCCAGTTTGTATTTTAATTTTTCTAAAAAAAATTACATTATTTAAAACTTTAATCTAATAAAATACTTATAACAAGTTTTTTTAAAAAAAATAACATTTTTATATTAAAATTTATAGTATTTTTGGAGTAAAAATAAAAAAAAAAATAGCCTATTAATTAATACAATTTTTATATAAAATAGTTTAAATAATTAAATTTTGAAATTTAAATTTATAACTTACCTTCTAGTAATCATAAAAGGATAAAATAAATTTATTGGATTCACTTCATTATTTTGCATTAAATTATAACTATGATTTAATTTATAACCTTAATATCTATAAATAATAAATTATAATTAATTTAAATTATTATAAAAGATAATAAAATACTTTTTTACTATTTATAATGATATTAAAAATATATAATTACTACTACTTGATACATTATAATAAACTATTAAATAAATTAAATTTTATTCTATTACAATTACTATTTACTTATTTATTATTTTATATTTTTTAAATTTTATAATTTTATAAAAATAAATTGCAAATATTAGTTTCTATATAAAATTAATAATTGGTATTTAAATTGCCTTTTACTTTATTTAAAAATAGCCAAAAATAACATTCTAAAAAGAGCAGATTATGATGATATTACACATTTTCCATTTTTGTAAATTTGTAGTTAATATAATTTTGGCTGGAATTATGTTTTAATTTTGCATTCCTAAAATAGATGATAATATAGAGTAAAAATTCTGAAATTTAAATTACATTATTTTTGGTCATTCTTTTATTATATAAATATAAATATATAGTTAAATTTTAAAATTATTTTAAAAAATATCAATATAATATGCAGAAAATTTATCTACAATTTTTTTAAAATTATTTTTATTTATTTATTTCTTTTTTTAATATTATACTCAAAGAGAATAATATTTGGAAAATTTACATAAACTAAACCTATTATAAATAAATTACACTCTACCTATTTGCAGATATATCCCATAAGTCCATTGTTTTTATTTATAATAATATCTGCTATACAAATATAAATTATATTTTTTTTATTTAAATTTTTAAAATAGTAACTTTATTAAAAATAATTTTATATAAAATAAAATATTTCTCTACTTATTTAGCAAATATAGTAATATGCTTAGAAAGTATAAATATAAATCATCTAATTATAATAAATTATATAATTTTAATATAAACTTTTTGATTTTAATTTAAAATATAATAATCTAATAAATCTAAATAAAAATAACTAATATATTTAAGCAATGAATCTAACAATT